AACTGGACCCCATGGGCTCTCGCGCGAAACTGATGGTTTGCGCCATGAAACCATGCGAAATATCTGGGGTGTCCAGTTTGGAGGCGTATCTCAGCCGCTAGTTAGTCAGCCTGCGCTGCCGCTTGGGCAGTGCCTCAGTTAGGACCCACAAATATTTTCCACGTAACATCTCCATGGATCTAGAATTGCCTGGACGCTGCCTCTAATGCTTCATTTAAGATATATTATTGCTGTGTAAACTTCGAATTGAATCAAATACCAGTGATTTTGCCGGACCCTTATTTATCAAAAAAAAAAGATCAAAGTTATGCCTTACGCTGATGAATGATATCAAGGTATTCGCTTCATATTCTGAAGCTGACAAGAACAAAGCTAAAAAAGCTCTGAACTGTTGTACGGAATATGCTGTCTTGGGTGGTTATGAACAACAAAGTAATTCAAATAAAAGTTCAGATCTGCCTGGACGCTGCCTTTGATGAGTCACCTGCGCTGCCGCTTGGGCAGATAGGTCTAGATTTGCCTGGACGCTGCCTTTAATGCGTCATTTAAGATATGCTATTGCTGTGTGAACTTCTAACTGGATTAAATGGCAGTGATTTTCTCTGACTCTTATTTATAAAAAAAATCAAAATTACGATCATGCCTTACGCTGATGAATGATATCAAGGTATTCGCTTCATATTCTGAAGCTGACAAGAACAAAGCTACAAAAGCTCTGAACTGTTGTACGGAATATGCTGTCTTGGGTGGTTATGAACAACAATGTAATTTAAATAAAAGTGCTTGATTGACCGTCACTAGAAAATGATTACTCTTTAATGAATTATGCTTGAGGCACTTCCTTTTCTGGGCCCTACTTGTGCGTCATCTAGGAATTCTTCTTGATCATGAACTTTATATGCGACTCCAATTGCAAAAATTCATATGCAGCCTTACACACTATTACTTTTTGTTAGCAACTTGGAGCATGTTGACAAAAATCTATAATAGACTATACGAGAGCTACGTCCCACCCCATTAAGTATATGGAAAACAATCGTGGAGAGCCCGCATTAAAAAAAATAGTGTGACTTTTAAGAGAGTTCAGATACTTTTCACGCGTATATTGTTCTACAGGCTTTTCCCTGACGATGATTGTCCATATTTCCTTCCATATTGTAGGGATATATAAGACTCTTCAGGCTTCATAGCTTGTTCCATCATAGTTGTGACTGACTTAGTACTTGCATTTCGAATGATAGACCTCGAAATCAAATTGTCACTTAGCGGGTTTTGGCCTTGGAGACCATATAATGGACGAACAGATAGCTTTTGCTTCCTCAACTCTCATGTATTGAATACGCTTTTCTACAAATCCTTTTTCGCTCGCACCTCACTGGATGCAAGAACTACCTGGTTCGATTCTCTCAACTCCAACTCAAAATCATTCAGAAATGAAATTTTGAATTTTGACCTTACGAGACTATTGCGAATTGATGGGTCAGAATACTTTGAACTTTACTTTTTTTTACCGTTCTTCAATTTTTATGTTCAGTATCTTATCAAGTCGAATAAGATGTTACCGTTCTACTCTATCTGCTAACAGAGGGACTTGATCTACTAACCTTACTTCTTGTTTATCTTGTGTCGTTCTTATTTGGTTTTAGTTTTTATAGCTTACTAGTTGGCAAACCCGGCTTCGCACGGCCCTGTCTATAACACATTTGTAATCAGCATGCTTGATTACCCCCCCCCCTGTGCCAACTTCCAGCCCCGTAGCTCAAATTTTGCAAAAAATCGATAAAATCGATTTCGATCGATACAAAAGGTAGCCTATGACACGCTCCCTGCCCCGAAGTTTATGTGTGCCAAGTTTGGTCCAAATTGGTTCAGAAATAAAAATTTCTATTCCGCACATACGTACAGACAGACAGACATACATACATACACACATTCAGCTTTATATATAAGAATATCGTCTCAAGCTCGGATCAGATGGTTATGATTTTTTTATGCACCATGGTTGTCTGGCATCTGTGAAGGATGTCATGACACATGTTTAGTAGGTTGCTGTACTGGCTAGTCACGCTATCAACATTTCATTTTCATTACCAATAACGGCTGACCATGCTTCTCTTGAGAAAATCGATTTGTCACCTACTTCTTTTTGATTATTCGGTGCGTTGAATGACTATTTTGGCCAAATAACCCAATTGAATGAAGTACACTAGTCCGCATTGTTTGAAGCTTTGATCGCGCATTCATATGTTGCTCAAACAGGAGGAAGTGGAGGCGGTATGTAGTAAAATGGAGGCTTAGGTACTGGACTAGCTATATCACCTCGGCTTTACTCTAAAGCGGACCACTCGAAATTGATGGATCCAAATTTATGATACCACCATAGTAGTACTGTACTTCTACTCCATTATTTTTGTGCAGTGCAGCAAATTATAACATTCTTGAATGCCTAAAATCAAAATTTTTGATACTAATTGAGAATCTTTCCAAATTCTGACCAAGTGTCATTACCGCATACTGTTATTATCTTTTTACAAACGAATTTTTGTGCAAGCTGGAGATACGAGTCTAGCACTATTCAAATTGGTTCCTTTTGCCTTAGATTGTTTCTGAAAAGTCTAGTCAGAAGGCAGCATGTTTTAACCCAGTTGTGATGTGACTTGACCTATGTTGTTTCTGTATTTTTTATGGGCACCTATGTTGCAAGTAAACAAATCAATAGCCATTTTTTATATCTGATTTGTATGAAAATCGAATGTCAAATATTTTCGACCAGTGCGTCACCTCTGCTTCGCAGAGGCTCGCACTGGCCTTACATTCTGTATGCCTTACTAATTTCCGCATAATGATGACAGTGAAACTCACTGCGTTATGCAGGCTATCACGAATGATTTGTAAACAGCTACTCATTCCTAGAGGTTTTTGTGCGAGATCGGTAATTTCACGTGGATGAAACTTTTCTCAGAAGAATAAATGCAAATTTGAACAGGTTTGTGGACTTCTCATGGCTTGGTAGTCGCCATAACGGCAATAATCATCGTGGGCTGCATCTCTGTGCAAAAATCTTCTCAAATGATTACGTAAAATCGTGGTAAATTGAACATTTACGCACTGATACTTTTTGGCGCCATTTTCATAAAGTAACCATCTTTAGTTGAATTATCTGGGCTAAAGTTCACGGCTGGTACATTAGCTTGTCAAATATATCCACGACTTTGCAAAAAGTTTATATACGGACCCAATTTTGCTGGTCAGAAGTTAAGTGGACCCGTTTCGCGCGCAATTTCTAGGGGATCCACTTATCGGATCCGCCTGTGCTTTTGCACAATGGACTTTCCTGCTGCTGGGATGTGCTATGCAAAATTTGGGCTCAAGAGGTTGGCTGGAACTCTCCCTACAAATTTCGTAACGGACAGACAGACAGACACACACACACACACACACACACACACACACACACACACACACACACACACACACACACACACACACACACACACACACACACACACACACACACACACACACACACACACACACACACACACACACACACACACACACACACACACACACACACACACACACACACACACACACACACACACACACACACACACACACACACACACACACACACACACACACACACACACACACACACACACACACACACACACACACACACACACACACCACACACCACACACACACACACACACACACACACCACACACCACACACCACACACACACACACACACACACACACACACACACACACACACACACACACACACACACACACACACACACACCACACACACACACACACACACACACACACACACACACACACACACACACACAAAAAGCGTAAACAACCCTTAGCCCGTTATTATAAGTTATGATATTCGATGATTTGAAAATTTTTATCTCATAATTTATTCGATTCATGTATTGATTGTTTGATGTTTAGGATTTGAAATCATTCGGCTTTTTTGAATCATTCGATATTTGTCTGCAATTAACTATCTGAACATTCGCGCTATATTTAAACAGATGATTTGTCGAGTAGCAAAAGAGAAGCACAATTCGATTGCTTGGGAAAATTTCGAGTATATTCCGTATTAATTATTCGACATTTTTGTAATTCGAATAGGGTGAAATAGGACAATTTTAATCCTCAAAAACTCTTTTTCGATAAACTGAAATATCCTCGAATTGCAGCGCTACATCACCATTTATGGGCCATCACTGGGCCCATAAAATATTTTCAATCAAAATTCGTGTAAAAGTGCTCTGGGTCAGCATAATTTGACTTCTGAAATCACTATCATTCATAGAGATTCCCATACGTCAATCATCACCCCCAGTTATTATCAGCATACTGGTCTGGCGCAGCCATCTGCGCTTCGTATCTCGCGCGGGCGTGTGCGTCTCTTCAAGCCGATGAAAATGTAAGTGCAATAGGCAACGTCACAAGTAAATCAAGAAGCTAGGATCAAAGGAAACAAGAGGAAATATGATCCACAGAATATGTCTGCGATGACTTGTCAACACAGATCGCAAATGACATCAGCAAAATAGTTGACCGAGAACAATAAAGTTATATATTTATTAGGTTGTTACATAAGTTTTGGTACATTCAACGGAAAAAATCCTTGCAATTTTTTTCAGAAAATCTTTTCTTTTTCAACTTACGGTAGATGTTGCGGAGTTTCGATACATACATGTCACACACAAAGAATACAATTTACAAATTTCTCAAAACTTCGAATTATTTTCGGCAAGTTTCCAACTTGCGTTGATAAACTTGAACTTCCTTACTGCTTTCGTATAACTGCTGATGTCCGCTGAAGTAAGTCCATAAGAAACTCCAAAATGTGAAAAGGAAGACTGAGGGAATTCTTAGAAAACAAAGGAAAAAATGGAGATTGAAATGCTGTTAGAAAATTGCCTTTATATTGGTAACAAAACTCATGTAGCAGATAATGATTTCATATGATCTTCTTTGTTAACTGCGGATCGGCAGCAGAAGTGAAATGTGTGGAATTTCGTTGGAAGTACAGGGTGTTGGAAAGTAAGTGCCCTGAAGTACTTCCAATTCGAATTTTGACGCGCTTTTTGTTTTTATTGTGCTCATCAGGCCTAGATACCCTTATTTCAGTGAACCGGGTTTTCTTGTGGTCTAGTTTTTTATTGGTTAAAACGCATCAACATAGCTTTTCAGACCACTTTCCTTGAAACGCTTGTTACAAAGAAGAAAACGTAATTCACAGGAAACTTGGTATACCTTTTAGAAGCCATTTCTTTGAGGTTTCTTACAAGTGCTTTCATTTTTGTAGAAGTAAGTTCTTGAATAGCATGCCTTAAAATACAAAAGATTCAGTTTCAGGATTTTTTTCGTCAACAAATCCAGCATCAAAATTTTTATATTTTACCTTTAAAACCTTCACAAGCGTGCAAAATTTTTAAAAATTGACACAATGAAGATCAGAGGGCTGCGCTACAAATACTTGTTGTCAGACTTCAAAAATTTTTGAACCGAAAAAATTTCAACGCAAATTGGTGCCACGATTGTCTGGTGTAATTTAGCACATGAAAAAATTTTTGTTCGCAAGCTGCTGAGGAACTTTTGTTATATAAAGCAAGTGTAGACTTAGGACTATTTATACTAAGAAATCGTGAAGCTGCCTCCGTTTTCCGGCGTTGAAAAAAAGTAGAGCAACTCAGATAACGCACTTTTCCGCCTCTTCAAGGAGGCTGAAATTTTTTTTAATTCCAAATTTTTTAAGGTATCTTAAACCAAAAAATACTTTTCTTTGTTGGCTCAGTGGTTTCTAGGTGTAGCGAACAAATATAGCAAAAAATGAGTTAGGATTCGAAGTTGAAGTACTTGAGGCCATAAACTTTTCAAACACCCTGTATAGTATTTCATTATTTGGTATGTAAACTAGACTGCCTTTGCATCATAAAAATCAAGAAAGCTTGAAGATTCTTCTAAAGCTTGAAAGAAATTTATAAAGTTTAACCGAATGCAAAAAAAATCAGAAAACAAAACTTCTAGAACTGCCTGAAAAGTTTCCTCACATCCCTATGAAACACACTGTTTCTACTGTGACCGTCGGATAAGCTGGAATAACTGCTTGTGGGGTAATTATAAGGATGTAGGAAAGACTTTCTGACTTGAAAAGAAGTGTAGCGTATTCCGTTATGCTTTCCCGACTTCTCATTCCATTGTATAGTTCGAGGGCTTTACAATGGATATCCGCCTTTTGAGAGAGGTTTCGTAGTTTTTTTTCCAGTTACCTGAGTAAATTTGCTGTGGAACCTTTCTTGAATTTTTTAGGCTTTGATTACAGGGTGCCTTTGCCAGAATACGGCATGTATTTTGCCTGATCAACAGTTTTGATCTCACTTAGAATTTGCTTTGAAGGGAGAGCGATGCTCTAAGGTTTCAACCAGGTTTCGAGATGAAGAACATTTTGTTTCCAAATTGATAGCTTGCTTCAATTCTATAATTTTAATTTTTCCCGTAATTTCATAATTGGAGAGGTAAAAAAATTGTGTTGTGGGGTTAAGCATTCGCTTGGATCACCAATCGCGAAATTTCGCGATTACGGTAGACCATGTTAGAGTACAATTCTGCAATTTTTCTCCACCAAATAGTCAAGGTAGATCAAATCAGTTATAGCTTACGATGCTACTTTGCCACAACAAGCTCTCTAGCTGTTTATCCCACTTGGCCTCTCCACAATCTAGCGATGTCTGATTAACAAGAAGCCTGCAAGTTGTGCTAAACCAGCGGCTACCTAATGATCCAGCTGGTCGCCGATTGAGATGTGAGCTGAGTGTGTGTGTGTGGCTAAGGCAACCGCCGTTTGCCTGTTGTTGAAGGCTCTCCAACTCGCCGTGACTTCTAGAGTAGGTGAATTATGTACCTACGCGATGTGCTGGTTGACCTGACCTGACCACTACCAGCTCTTAATCAAACAAGCTCCATTTACCAGCTACATACGGCATTCCTATAGATGTTGGCCGCGCTTCTCCTCGTCTTCTTATCTACAGGTTAGCACTTACGACACATTTGAACGGTTTCTATTTGCTCAAGGTCTTCCAGAACCAAAATGTTTAAGATGGAATACATGATAGGCAAGAATCCTCAAAACTTGTCGTTTGTTAGAAAATATAGCGTTATACAAAAATTAAACCTTAATTCTTTGGTCCAGATTAGAGAAAAATGAACGATGATACGTTGAGCGTACGCATGAACACACAAAATTCGTTTATTGCTATTAAGTACACGAATTGATTACTGATTTTTTTAGAGATATGTAAGTCTCATGAATTTTATGTAATACCCATAAAAACACAAGCATGGAGACGCTCTTCCCTGTAAAGCAATGCGAGAGCGTTATATTAGGGGATAAAAATAATTCCGTTTTGGCATGAAAATTTTCGTAGAAACTTTTCTAGTTGATCTTTACACATGATTCTTTGTAAGTAAGTAGTTCAAAGCTTTTCCTACCACAAAGCAACTATTTAGAATTTCAAATTATTGGTAAGGGATAGTTATACCCCAACATAACTAAGATTCTAAAAGCTCAATTCTGCGACTTTCTCAGCTTCGTTTTCTTACTCTAATGCATATAAAGGACATTAATTCGGTCATTGGGTACAGACAAGTTTTTCCTAAAGCGACTATCAGTAAAAATTGTGTCTGCCATTTCAAAATTCTTTGGCCGAAAAAACCATTTCTCATATTTGCACACAACGAGAAAATTGGGGTTTCTCACTTCTTTTCGGATTTCTTTCACTGCAAAAGAAATGATTTTATATTCGAAATCGCATTGAAGTGCTCTTTCCAGATGTACCGAATATTGGACAAAACATTATCTGCAATATCTATAGGACCGCGATATAGTACCAACCGAAATTATTTATTAATCATTCTAAAATAACTTTACCACGTACAAATACTGGTACAACGAAGTCATAGCTCCTGCAAGCAAGCGAAAATGTGCTAAGTGCTTGCGCACAACAGTTACCGTAATTCGGTATACTGCAGAAGTACGGTAGCTTTGTATAATAGCAGAAGCATCTTAAATTTCGCTACGTGTAGTACTAATAAAAGTCGCAGCGCTTTTGGATCAGAAGCTGAAGAAGCGACAGTTTTTTATTTGATTGCACAAACTATTCAAGTTTATAAGTCAAAGCCTCTAAAGCAGTTCAATTTTTTCTACGAGGAGGCATGTACCCAACCGCCCCAGCTGCAAAAACAACATTCTTATACACTAGTCGTACCTTGGTTGCATGTTCCAGAATAAAAATTTCTGCGTGAAAATGCCGAAAAGGTTATGCTTCCGCCTAAGCAGGTGACGACGAAACTTCACTTTGAATTTCTGAGATATTTCCTCAAAACGACCTGAGAAATGTTGAACTGAGAGAGCGAAATGATGCTTAAAAGGTGATAGATCAGAGGTGGTGAATGATTCTTAATTACATGTGAATCGGCTTTTCTACGTCATTGTCGCGAAAGACTATAATCTTCTTCAGCTTCATGTAGTTGAGGGACCAACCATTTTTGCTGCCCTCTGCGAGCGAAAAATGTATTTGTTTTCTGGCAATTTATTTGTACCATCACCTTCAATAAGTTTTTTTTTCACAAGCATCAAATTTTTTACAGGTCAAGTACGAGTCCATGCTGCCGAATGTGATCTCATTGAAGAAGCGATTTCTCTACAATGTCTATCACCACTCGTGGAATATGCTACCATCGATCGATATGTGCTCCATCCACCATTGAGCGATATCGATCAACAATGCAATCAATATAAAGAATATCGCGTTTGTACCACTGGAATCGATCCGAAATGCAGGTAAAGTTGTGTTTTTGTAGCCTTGTTCTGTGATTCAGAGTGGGAGGAGCGAGGCACGCGGTTGCGTCGCGTGCTGGTGAGCCTAGTTGCTAGTATAACCATATACTTGACACTTTTTGGAATAAGGTAAAACATTAGTTTATTGGAAATTAATAAAACAAATTTTATTGCAATTGAGTAGTGTAAAAAATAAGTCTCAACGGATATCCAAGCATAACAGGCAAGCGTTGTTATGCTCTCTGAAACCGCAGCGCAATCGCAGGCGCAATGAACTCCGCCCAGCATTATTTTGGGAAGCAAACAATTAATGGAATCTTCAGGAAGTCTCGAGCACCAAATGTTGAACGAATGTACGAAGGAATGTGTGAAGAAAATTTCCGAAGTCTTATTCGAGAGGAATTGCAGTGCTTGTCAACATTAGAAAGGTTATTTTCGCCTCTTACCAGCAACCTGTTGAATTTTTTTTCTACGAATGACGAATATGAATATTTCAGGGACCAAAAACTTAGAGAATGCTTTGTAAATCGAACAAACACGCTTCGTGATGAGGACCCAGGTAAATAATTCACTTTACTCCTTTTGATGAACTGTGGGCTTCGTGATAGTTTACAAATTGTCAAAGCAATGTCATATCCCGAAAATAAACAAAGATTGTTTACTACTCATGCACTAACAGAATAATATGCGAAGAGTGAATGAGGGGCCAAAAATTTCATATTTTAGCTAATCCACCCAAGCCGGATGTTTCCTATTCGTCCTATGAATGTTTGATCACTCAGATCTATGTGGATTGCCTTCTCGAACGTCAGGAAAAGTCATGCAAGGAAGCTATCAAGGTTAGCGAAAATAATCAAAAGCTGAACTTACGACAGCTGTTGGGAAGCAAAAGATTATTTGGGAAGTAGATTGTTGATTATAATTTCACATACAAAATCTTATTTAACCACCACATAGGAATGGTAATAAGGTGTGAAGTTTTTAGGATGCTCCGGGAATGAACTTGGTGGACAATTTATTCGGAGAACTTTCGAAATAAATTGATTAAAAAATTGACCGTTTTGGTCGTTGAACAACTCATAGCGTTTTACCTTCTAAAATACATTTAAGACCATAGGTAATAACTTTTTTGTTTCAGCTAGAAATGGCGATGCTATCGATGCTAGCAGCTCGAAATGGGAGTCAATGCGTGCTTCAAACAATTCCAAGAAAACGACCACCACCAGCGGGTATGTTATTTGGCGTTTATAGTCCAAGCAAGACCCGCAGACGCCTGCATCGTTGTCGCGTGTTGGTGCGCTGCGGGTGTGACGCGCAATACAAAGCGTGTATGAAATCCACTCCAGCGCTGCCCTTGGAGCAATGCGATAAACGCGGAAAGTGCAAATGTCGTTTGGAAGGATATGTCTACGATGCGGAATCGAAGAAATGCCTAGGTTCGACGCTTCAAGACATCTTGATCAATACGTATAAATTGCACTGGCATTGAACTTTTCTAGACATCGACGAGTGTGACACTCTGGATCCGGGTTGCTCACAAAAATGTGTAAATCATCCTGGTAGTTATTCTTGCGTCTGTGACCCTACCTATTTCCGTTTGGATAAGGATAATAAGACTTGTGTTAGAATCGATAAAGGTATACCATAACTGCATAGTTTCGGCCTTTAAATGTGATTTTTCCAATATAGATCCAATGTGGCTCTTCTTTGCTCATGGTCAATCAATTTGGAACATTTCGCTAAGCGGAGGATCATTTGAGCTGCAAAAAGCTGGCCTACAGAAAACCGCTGTGCTAGATGTCGATGTTGCTGTAAGTTTTGCTTCGGGTCGAGGTGGCGGGGGGGGGGGGGGGCAAAAGCCGATAAAAAAGTTAACTTCCAGGAACGACGGATCTACTATGCTGACGTTGGCTCAAATTCTATCGAAAGGCTAAACCTTGACGGAACTTTCCCACATGTGGTGCAGAAGTATGAAGTTGATGCTCTAGAGGGAATAGCTGTTGACTGGGTTGGGAGGAATCTCTACAGTTTGAGGAGGTACCATTACTCAAGGGAAAATTGCTGATCAATCTGAATGAGAATCGTATTTCAGAAATGACATTTTGGTGCAGACTTTGGATGGAAAATATAGAAGAGCACTTTACAAGGGAGTGATGCGTCTACCACGTGCTATAGCTGTGCACCCGGCAAAGGGGTAAGGCACGGTTCCATAATTGAAATTTCAAATAACAATAATAAAAAACACTTGTCTGTAGTAATACATATAGATAGGTATATTCCCAAAAAGCCTGAGGGCGCAAAGGGCCCATAAAGCGCAAAATTATTCTTGCGTACGCTTGTAACGCCCTCTTAGGCAAAACTGCCACGCCTATTGTTGCACAGCCATGCCTATTTTTGGAGAGCTCCTAGTTATTCTCACTAACTATTGCATTCAATTGTCATTGTTTATTGCTGCATTAATGCAAGTCTTCTTTCTGTTCTTTCACGCCCCTTGGTCACAAATGCTACGCCTTTTTTGTCGACTTGCCACAATTGTCGCGCCCACTTTTTCACGAGTGACCGACCAATAACGCGCTATAAGTAAAATTTCTTCCTTGTGCTTGCCACGCCCACTTGGTCGCAATTGCCACGCCCATTTTTGCACGGTTTGCACATCCACTTTTTGACTCATCGTACTCGCACTGCATTATTCCATATTAAGCCTGATCAATGTAAATGAACTTTTCTCCTGCGCCCACTGGAGATAATTAGCGGATAGAATGAGATGACAATTACCCAAATTTATTTTATTTATTTTATTATTAAATTTATTACGCTCAAACTCCACTGCCTTGAAAAACTAGATTATGAATTAGAATAATGTTCGTCTCCGACTGGTCTTCGTATGCTTTCATCGCTGCCGCTTCTATGGATGGCACATCATTCATGAAAATCATCACTGACCGGATTACATGGCCGAATGCTCTCGCTGTGGACATCTACAGCGATAAAATCTACTGGGCCGATGCGTACAATGACGTCATCGAGTGGGTAGCCTTGATTTTTTGGGAAAAGAGCGTAAAGAATCCAGTATTTTTTAGAGTAGCAAACTTGGATGGATCCGGTCGGCGTTTGATCATTTCGGATTCTGGCACGGTTCCACACGTTTTCGCGCTGGCAGTAGCCGATGATCTGATTTACTGGAGCGATTGGACTTATAGGTAGGTGGTCTAAAGCTTAATCTTTTTGCTTCAGTGGTAGATCTCTCGAAAGGAACTCGAAAAATCGGCAAAATTAGAGAAAAAAATCACAGCTTTGTTCTTTTGGTGCGACCACAAGTGACACCCAGCCAGACCTAGCTGACACTTAATTGGCACCAAGCTGGCGCACAGGTGGCACCTGACTGGCACCTAGTTGGCACTCATTGGCACCTAGCTGACACCGTGCCGTCTAGTCTCTCAAGGATCCTAAATTGATTTTCCTCATAATTACAGAGGCCTGCTCCGCGCCAGCAAAATCACTGGCGAAAATGTTACCGTGGTCGCGCAGACGGCTCTACTACCTTATGGTTTGAAAATCTTCCATCCGTCACTACAACCTCAATGTAGGATTTGTGGTTTTTCATCGTTGAAAAGCAGGCCAGGCTCTGAACTGCCCAAACCAGTTCGTTTGAAAAGAGACCATTCGTTCTACTTTTTCAGTCCCAACTCTTTGTGACTCTCTTCATTGTGAACAACTCTGTCTGCTTGGCCCAGATCGCAGTGCCAGATGCGCTTGTGGTGAAGGTTACGAGCTTCATGAAAATGCTAGGAACTGCACTAGTAACTGTGATGCGAAGCATTTCGAATGTGGAGGATCGGAAGCAAGGTGGGTTTTTGTTTGCTTATAAGGTTGTGAGGATAGGTAATGGCACCCGTGGCGAAATTTATGGGGGTTATAAGAAAACATAAAAGATGCAAGTCAATGATGAATTTTCGAAAAAGATCTAGTTTGTAACGCATGATGGACAACCAAAATGTTTTTGCTGTGAAATCGGAACCAGGTTTGGTGTTGCTGAAAGAAATTGAGAACAGTGGCGGACCAAGGTAGGGAGGGACACCCACGGTAGCGAACTTTTTGAAAGTGGCCTACTTGAGCCATAAAGTTGAGCAATTGACTTGTTCTCAACCTGTAAAGAATCGAAACATGTTTTGGAAATTTTTGGTATTTTTGCGCTATCCGGACCCATTTTTTCAAATTATTAGGTCATTCCGAAAGTAATTTCGCTTTTTTCAAACGGATGCCACATGTGATGCAACAAATATTTCAAAGAGATCTTGGTAGCATTCGATGCAGCATTTCATCCTCTTTTTAAAAATATTGAAATCTTTGCAGCTCAATCATTGAGCTTTCGGGAAATAACCAAAACCTGCGACCCATGCTTTTTGAGACTGCCAAGTTCCACAATTTTTCAAAACTTTCACATCAACCCTCAGAAGGAACTCCTTCAAATAACGATTAGATAGGGAAAACCTTATAGGATATAGCACAACTTTTTTCTTTTTTTCATACTCGCCGTAATTTTTTAAAAGATTTTTAACCAAAACCATCGGATTTTGGCAAGCCTATGTCAGTCACAATCGCATCAAACACCAGTAAGTACTCGGAATTTGAATCTTTCAAGATGATATACGACTTAATGTTGATTTTATAAAGCAAATGAGAGCTTACGGATTCGAAATACTGAGCTTCGAGTTTTTCGGGTACAGCCTTGCGAGCCTTCAAAAACATGAGTTATGACGATTTTATCCCCGATAACTGAACATCGGAAACAAAAAAACACCTATTAGAAAGAGGAGAAAAAGCTGCATCAAATAGCACACGAACTGCTCTCTCATTGATGTTCTACGAAATTTGAGTTGACCAAGTATGAAAATTGGTAGCATCAGTTAAAATCTTATTAAAAAATTTTGAGGAGGTATGTGAAGGAGAAAAAATTGATTTGTATCCAGTAGGGTTTGCTCTATCTAATTGTTACTTGAATTCCTTCTGAGGGTTGATATGAAGTTTTTGAAAAATTGTGAAACTTGACAATATCAAAAAGCATGGGTCGCACGTTTGAATATTTTCCGAAAGCTCAATGATTGATCTGCGACGATTTCACCACAGTTAAAGAGAGGATGAAATGCTGCATCGAATGCTACCAAGATCTCTTGAAAAACACTTTTCCTTCGGATGTGGCGCCCCTTTGAAAAAAGCGAAATTACTTTCGGAATGACCTAATAGAATATTGCTTCCATCTTTGTACCAAATTTAGTCAAAACTTCACAGGATGGTGCGCCAACCTCCTGCCACGTTTCAAAAAAAATGATATATTATCTAATATTTAATAGATTTTACTAAGGTTTTTTTTAGCTTACCTAACGGTGTAAGTTCAATCTGTTTTTTCTAATAATGACCCTATTTCTATTCAACGGTTTCAAAATGAGCATTGACCTGATGCAAATAACATCCTATGTGAATTTATTTAACATATTAGATTTGCCTAGAACAGAAAAGTGGGCTTTCATCATCTAAGCGACGAAGCAAGCGGTACTTCAAGCCATCATTTTTCTTTTTCGGCCAAATTAGCATGGCGAAAATTATTTGAAAAGAAAGATATTTAGATTCGTTGATGAAAGCGACAAAATGTTCTGATAAACGATTTGGGTATTTTTGCCTCCATGAAAAACCGATGAACGCTTTTGAGTCATTTCAAATGTTCTTTGCCTCCATGAAAAACCGATGAACGCTTTTGAGTCATTTCAAATGTTCTAGTAGCTCACCGAAAATGAACTGAAGGAAAAACATGTGAGACTGAGCCTGAACGTGTTAATTTTTATTTTGATACGTAGCAGAGAACCAGTCAGGGCCCGGCACGAGTCGGTTTCTAGGGTTTCTGAAAACGAAGTCTCCCCTGACTTACGGAAGTTTTACGAAGTCCCCTTTGACCTACCTGCTTAGAAGAAGATGAAAACAAGAAAAAATTACCAGTCTGAAAGAAAAGACGTAAGATAAGAGCGAAAATCCAAACTGGAGCTGAATACTACGCATGCACAAGACTTTGGCATTAGAGCGCGATATCTAACAAAGCGAGAATAAATGAAGGCAAAAAACAAAGGAAAGGCAATGATATGAAAATGTCTTCATGCTCAGGGATAGATTTTTGACCGGGGAATCCGTCCATGCTAAAAAGATCCGAAACTTATGTGAAGTGACGAAAATATATGCTCCAGACCATCTCAGATCGTCTGGTGGCCGTCTGGAGACGATCTAATTTTGGAAAAGGTATTACTTCACATAAGTTTTCAAATCTTTTTACATAATTCTTCCGCAAATAATTTTCTATGTATACAGTTCAATTTTGGTGTCATATGCTTCTGTGTGCGTTGTAAACAAGCAATTTGTTTATTTTAGCGTTGCTTTCTAATCGCGCGCACTTTCCGCCGTACACGATAGAGCATGTCAATCGTGCGATAACCTGTCCGAAAAGCTTGTGTTCGACTAAATGGCGCTCATTCTTGGTGCTTAGCCCCTATTCGTCAGAAACGATATCTCCTTTGCTGTTTGCTTCAAAAACGAAGTCCAGCCTGCTTCCAGACGATCTGTGCCGGGCCCTGGAACCAGTCCTCTACGCTTTATAAAAAAACTCAAATCTAGCTGAATTTTTCTTGGAGCGCGGCTTTGCCAGCTAAAATTTCGGAAAGCATCCCAAGAGATTTTTGTCTCCCTCCCCCTCCAAAATTTTTTTTCGTTCCTCCACTGTTGAGAGCATGGCCATAAGTGACTATCAACAGTAGAGGTGGATACGGTGGATAAGAGTATGCATTCCTACTACTTTAACTATCTCATCCGCATTTGCCCCCATTATCATGAAATGTTCGGGTTCTGCTGCTCTACTTAAGCCAATGTACCCTCACCCTCATATTCCAAGACAACTCGATAAAAGTTACTAAGGGCTGGTCAAAGTCATAAATTCACTTCTTTTTTCGATACTTAGTTGCAAAATTTTTAGTTCCTAGGTTTTTTTCCCTATTTCTGCATGCTCAATCGGCGAAAAATTGCTGTGACCGGAACCTGTCGCCTTTTGAAAAAATTGAAAATTGCATTCTCGGCCTTTGAGTGCAGGGGAGTCTTTTTTCGAAAAAGCAGCTAGTCACGAGGTTCTGAGCACTAATTTTTACCCAGTGGCTTTGAGATCTGTCAGAATTTTGTGCCTTGATGTTTTCTCACTTTGAATTTTTGTTCGCCTCCCTTTGCTTTTGACGTCATGAAAATTTTATTGTGCCTAAAACCACGTCATGCAACGGAAATTCATCAATATTCAATGTAAAATAACATACGTAACAATGTCAAAGTCCTTGTTGAAACACATGCGCTGTCCTACATCATTGTTCTACGGCTGTCCTTGACATCATCTTCTTCATCGATCACAATTCTTTTATTTGTGATGAACTTCCTTATAGAGGTGAGCGGACAAATTGCTTTGGGAGGCCAAAAATGAGGAACGGGGGACAAAAATCTGGCCTTGTTTAATCGGAGAATTTAGATCTCTTTCCTAAAAGAGTATGTTTTGTACCCTTGGTAGAGAAAATTATTTTGGTCTCAATAACAAGCGACTCCTTCACTTCTTTTCAACTATCCGCCTCTAACAGAGCAATTTTTCGTACCAATAAAATTATTCTTCAAAATTTGCTTTCGAATCCACTCCAAAATTTGAGAGGTTTCTTCATAGTTTTGGACACAGGGCTCGGCACGAGCTGGCACCAGAGAAATTTCAAAACGAAGTCCCGTTTGATATTGAAAATTTCGTACGAAGTCCCTTTTGACCTGTTTTGAAAACCCGTCATCATTTTTATATTATGTAAAAAATGTAGTAGTGTTTTCATGCATTTCTGATTTCATGAAAGAGCTTTTCACAGCTTTCTGAGCTTTTTAAGTGGTCGAATCACATCTTGAGAAGCAGAAAAAGCCGATTTTTCGACGGCGGAGCGGACCGAGTGGTTTTCAAATTGCTATAAAACGCTGGAAAGAGAACATTATGAAACTGTTTCTTCTCCGCATGTAATCTTTCACAGTGTAGATACATTTTATGTAAAAAAGTATGAAAACTTATGTGAGCAAAGTGTCGGTGCCAGCTCAGCTGGCACCCAGCTGGCACGGTGCCAGCTAATTCAGAAAAAAGTTGGGCACAGCTTTCATTCACATAAGTTTTCATAAATTTTTGGCCCGTAGTTCCGGTCCACCAACGCGCATGCACACACCAAATTTGGTGTCATACTATTGCGTTTTGGCTGAAAACAACGCCTTTGTTTGTTGATGGACAGCTTGCCAATGGCATGCCGGTGGCATGCCGGCGGCAATTTTGCGGTAGTTCTCCGCCTCGGCCCCTGTAGAAACGATATCCCCTTTGCTTTCCGCGCTAAAAACGATATCCAGCTTGACACGGTGCCAGCTGTGCTGAGCCCTGTTTGGACAATATCCGTCTCCCATTTTTTTAACTTAATAAGCATCATTCTACCCCTTCCCAGGAAAGCTTTTCTATATGATTTTTGCCGAACTGGCATTCCAAAATTCACAATTTTTTTGACATGTAAGGGTGTTGTCAACGTGTTTCCATCAAAAATTTTGATAGGCTGTGTCATGCGTTGTGATTTTGGACATGGTATCATTATAGAGAATGTAAACAAACATTCGACACACTACCCCCCCCCCCTCCCGCCCCCCGTACACGGCATTTTTATATTATTGACTTTTATCATGCGATCGAAGCTCAGTGGGTGTGAATGGTGAATGATTGTCTGGTGTCTGATTCTGGCTGTGACTAGCACGGCTAAGCAGTACCAGTGTTGCACGTGACTAGGGGGGGGG